AGCATGCAGAAAACACACACACACACACACACACACACACACACACACACACACACACACAGACACACACACACACACACACACCTGCTGAGTGCTGTCTGATGTCCACCCAGCGTTATGGAGTCCTCAGACGGCGGTGAGACGACAGGTCACTGAATCTGAAAAACAAAAACAGCAAAGATGAGACAAGGGCCCCCACAGAGGACCAGAGCCACGGGGCCCGGAGCCACGGGGCCCGGAGTCCAGTCCAAGAGGAAGATGCAGAGAAACGGCAAAGGTCAAGGGAAGATTAGTCACACCATGAGAGCAGAGAGTGGAAATGTGGGAACCCTCACAAGTACGACAGCTGTCAATCAAACTGCTCTGACAAGACATGACACTTTAAAACACTCCACATGGTCCAGAACATACTATACAGTCTCTTTCTCTGGTCTCTCTCTGGTCTCTCTCTGGTCTCTCTCTGGTGTCTCTCTCTGGTCTCTCTCTGGTCTCTCTCTGGTCTCTCTCTGGTGTCTCTCTCTGGTCTCTCTCTGGTCTCTCTCTGGTCTCTCTCTGGTGTCTCTCTCTGGTCTCTCTCTTGTCTCTCTCTGGTCTCTCTCTGGTCTCTCTCTGGTCTCTCTCTGGTCTCTCTCTGGTCTCTCTCTGGTCTCTCTCTCTGGTCTCTCTCTGTTCTCTCTCTGGTCTCTCTCTCTGGTCTCTCTCTGGTCTCTCTCTGGTCTCTCTCTGGTCTCTCTCTGGTCTCTCTCTGGTCTCTCTCTGGTCTCTCTCTGGTCTCTCTCTGGTCTCTGTCTAGTTTAATCTATTCTAACATTTGAATCTAAAATGTCACCGATCGTTACATAATCATTTCCTTTTAGCCTAAATGAAGCTTTAGTGAAACTTCAGACCGGTAGACTATCCATGTCCCCGCATCAGGCCCCTCCCCCTCCTCATCAGGCCCCTCCCCCTCCTCATCAGCTCCATCATCTCTGCCAGCCGCCAATCAAGATAAGATAAGATAAGCTTTATTTATCTCACAGAGGAGAAATGTACGTGTCACATTTGGCATGGATAGAACACTCAGATTGTGCAAAGGGAGGAAATGTGCAAACATGTTACATGCAGGATATATGTACAATAAAGTGACAATAATTATGTGCAACAAAAGTGACAAGTGTCAATTGGAAACAGTGTCAATAGTAGTGCAGGTTTTCACACAGTGATCATTTAAAGTGACTTATTGTACAGTCTGACAGCAGTGGGGATAAAGGCCCTGCGGTAGCGCTCCTTCCTACACTGAGGGTGTCTCAGTCTTCCACTGAAGGAGCTCCTCAGCTCCTCTACAGTCCTGTGCAGTGGGAGGTGTTGTTCATGATGGAGGTGGCTTTGGCTAGCACCCTCCTGTCCCTCACCTCCTCCACAGAGTCCAGGGGCCTCCTGTCCCTCACCTCCTCCACAGAGTCCAGGGGCCTCCTGTCCCTCACCTCCTCCACAGAGTCCAGGGGCCTCCTGTCCCTCACCTCCTCCACAGAGTCCAGGGGCCTCCTGTCCCTCACCTCCTCCACAGAGTCCAGGGGCCTCCTGTCCCTCACCTCCTCCACAGAGTCCAGGGAGCAGCCCAGAGTGGAGCTGGCCCTCCTGACCAGGTTGTTCAGTCTGTTTCTGTCCCGCTCTGTGCTGCCCGGGGCCCAGCACACGGCAGCGTAGTAAATGGCAGAAGCTACCACAGAGTCATAAAAAGTCCTGAGCAGAGGCCTGCTCACTCCGAAGGACCTCAGCCTCCTCCGAAGGACCTCAGCCTCCTCAGAAGGACCTCAGCCTCCTCAGAAGGAAGAGGCGACTTTGGCCCTTCTTGTGCAGGGCGTTTGTATTATGGACCAGTCCAGTTTATTGTTAATGTGAACACCCAGGTACTTGAAGCTGTCCACCAGCTCAATGTCCTCCCCCTGGATGTTCAGCAGCGTGTGGGAAAGTGGTTTTCTCCTGAAGTCGATGATCATCTCCTTGGTCTTACTGGTGTTCAAGCACAACTGGTTGCACTCACACCAGTCGACAAAGTCCTTGATAACCGACCGATATTCCAGTTCGTTCCCCTCAGACACACAGCCCACGATGGCGGAGTCGTCTGAGAACTTCTGCAGGTGACAGCTGTGTGTGTCGTGTGTGAAGTCTGAGGTGTAGATGGTGAAGAGAAACGGTGAGAGGACAGTGCCCTGAGGGGCCCCAGTGCTGCAGACGACCACCTCAGACTCACAGCTGCGCAAACGCACGTACTGTGGTCGGTCTGAGAGGTAGTTGATGGTCCATGCAGTGAGGTAGTTGATGGTCCATGCAGTGAGGTAGTTGATGGTCCATGCAGTGAGGTAGTTGATGGTCCATGCAGTGAGGTAGTTGATGGTCCATGCAGTGAGGTAGTTGATGGTCCATGCAGTGAGGTAGTTGATGGTCCATGCAGTGAGGTAGTTGATGGTCCATGCAGTGAGGTAGTTGATGGTCCATGCGGTGAGGTAGTCGATGGTCCATGCGGTGAGGTAGTTGATGGTCCATGCAGTGAGGTAGTCGATGGTCCATGCAGTGAGGTAGTTGATGGTCCATGCAGTGAGATAGTTGATGGTCCATGCAGTGAGGTAGTTGATGGTCCATGCAGTGAGGTAGTTGATGGTCCATGCAGTGAGGTAGTTGATGGTCCATGCAGTGAGGTAGTCGATGGTCCATGCAGTGAGGTAGTCGATGGTCCATGCAGTGAGGTAGTTGATGGTCCATGCAGTGAGGTAGTTGATGGTCCATGCAGTGAGGTAGTTGATGGTCCATGCAGTGAGGTAGTTGATGGTCCATGCAGTGAGGTAGTTGATGGTCCATGCAGTGAGGTAGTTGATGGTCCATGCAGTGAGGTAGTTGATGGTCCATGCAGTGAGGTAGTTGATGGTCCATGCAGTGAGGTAGTTGATGGTCCATGCAGTGAGGTAGTTGATGGTCCATGCGGTGAGGTAGTCGATGGTCCATGCGGTGAGGTATTTGATGGTCCATGCGGTGAGGTAGTCGATGGTCCATGCAGTGAGGTAGTTGATGGTCCATGCAGTGAGGTAGTTGATGGTCCATGCAGTGAGGTAGTTGATGGTCCATGCAGTGAGGTAGTTGATGGTCCATGCAGTGAGGTAGTTGATGGTCCATGCAGTGAGGTAGTCGATGGTCCATGCAGTGAGGTAGTCGATGGTCCATGCAGTGAGGTAGTTGATGGTCCATGCAGTGAGGTAGTCGATGGTCCATGCAGTGAGGTAGTCGATGGTCCATGCAGTGAGGTAGTTGATGGTCCATGCAGTGAGGTAGTTGATGGTCCATGCAGTGAGGTAGTTGATGGTCCATGCAGTGAGGTAGTTGATGGTCCATGCAGTGAGGTAGTTGATGGTCCATGCAGTGAGGTAGTTGATGGTCCATGCAGTGAGGTAGTTGATGGTCCATGCAGTGAGGTAGTTGATGGTCCATGCAGTGAGGTAGTTGATGGTCCATGCAGTGAGGAGTTGATGGTCCATGCAGTGAGGTAGTTGATGGTCCATGCAGTGAGGTATTTGATGGTCCATGCAGTGAGGTAGTTGATGGTCCATGCAGTGAGGTAGTTGATGGTCCATGCAGTGAGGTAGTTGATGGTCCATGCAGTGAGGTAGTTGATGGTCCATGCAGTGAGGTAGTTGATGGTCCATGCAGTGAGGTAGTTGATGGTCCATGCAGTGAGGTAGTTGATGGTCCATGCAGTGAGGTAGTTGATGGTCCATGCGGTGAGGTAGTTGATGGTCCATGCGGTGAGGTAGTCGATGGTCCTTGCGGTGAGGTAGTTGATGGTCCATGCAGTGAGGTAGTTGATGGTCCATGCGGTGAGGTAGTTGATGGTCCATGCAGTGAGGTAGTTGATGGTCCATGCAGTGAGGTAGTTGATGGTCCATGCAGTGAGGTAGTCGATGGTCCATGCAGTGAGGTAGTTGATGGTCCATGCAGTGAGGTAGTTGATGGTCCATGCAGTGAGGTAGTTGATGGTCCATGCAGTGAGGTAGTTGATGGTCCATGCAGTGAGGTAGTTGATGGTCCATGCAGTGAGGTAGTCGATGGTCCATGCAGTGAGGTAGTCGATGGTCCATGCAGTGAGGTAGTTGATGGTCCATGCAGTGAGGTAGTCGATGGTCCATGCAGTGAGGTAGTCGATGGTCCATGCAGTGAGGTAGTTGATGGTCCATGCAGTGAGGTAGTTGATGGTCCATGCAGTGAGGTAGTTGATGGTCCATGCAGTGAGGTAGTTGATGGTCCATGCAGTGAGGTAGTTGATGGTCCATGCAGTGAGGTAGTTGATGGTCCATGCAGTGAGGTAGTTGATGGTCCATGCAGTGAGGTAGTTGATGGTCCATGCAGTGAGGTAGTTGATGGTCCATGCAGTGAGGTAGTTGATGGTCCATGCAGTGAGGTAGTTGATGGTCCATGCAGTGAGGTAGTTGATGGTCCATGCAGTGAGGTAGTTGATGGTCCATGCAGTGAGGTAGTTGATGGTCCATGCAGTGAGGTAGTTGATGGTCCATGCAGTGAGGTAGTTGATGGTCCAGCGTGAGGTAGTTGATGGTCCATGCAGTGAGGTAGTTGATGGTCCATGCAGTGAGGTAGTTGATGGTCCATGCAGTGAGGTAGTTGATGGTCCATGCAGTGAGGTAGTTGATGGTCCATGCAGTGAGGTAGTTGATGGTCCATGCAGTGAGGTAGTTGATGGTCCATGCAGTGAGGTAGTTGATGGTCCATGCAGTGAGGTAGTTGATGGTCCATGCGGTGAGGCTACTGTCCACTCCCGCGTCCTCCATCTTCCCCTGCAGCAGTGCCGGCCTGATGGGATTGAAAGCGCTGGAGAAGTCGAAGAACATGACACAGCGCCCCCTGCAGGCTCCAGGTGGGAGAGCGTCCGCTGCAGGAAGTAGATGACGGCGTCCTCTGCTCTATCAAACCAGCGCTCGCCAAAGCCACACCCGCCTCCGATAAAGTTAGAGATT